ACAATTAAAGAAACGTTAATTTTATCAGAATCAAGAATTTACACATAAAACACCTATCAAGGGTTTGGCTTAGTAAATAATTAATTATAGGGGTTACAATGAACGATTATAATCATCCAAGTAGCACTATATATACACAATCCAGTTCTTACTTCACTAATCCTAACATGGCGTCCATGCCAGCAACTTTATCATGGCAACATAGTGTTGGTAATATGGTAAGTAATTTTATACAACCTATAGAAAGTAAGCTATCTCGATGGTTTTGGCAAGGTATTAACACACTTCCACAAAGCCATTTCTCTAAGGATCTTACGAAAGTAAATTATTTTGATAAATATCTGTGGCAAGGAATATTTAACGAGAGATTAGAATCACTTAAAGAACAATTCGCATTTGAATTCACAGAACAACAAAAATCTCTGCCAATACAGAATAATGTAGTATTAACAAAAATTGATAAGGTAAAGGATCAAATAATAGCTGACTTACCACAAGATAAATTGGTACTAGAAGACCAATTGATTTATCTGCAAGGTATTGTTGGTAAATATATGCTTTCTCCACAATCTTATGAAAAAGGATTAGACCGCTTAAAACAAGTTGTTTCTAATAATGAGCAATACATAATAATTATTGAAAAAGCAAGATCTGGATTTCGATCTGAGCTGAAAAAGCAACCAGCATTATTAGCAGAATGTTTACAAGGTGATGTTTTATTCTTAATTCAACATCATTCAGAGTCATCTCAGAACTCATTAACACCAACACCCTTAAAAAAAATATTGAGTTATTACAAACCATTAATGGCACATAAATCTTATGTCAGACATCAGAATTGGTTACAAGAATGTTACAATACTCAGTCACTGTTACCACCACCAGTTATCAAAAGACATGTTACAACAGATACCCCATCGAATGAAAGAAAAGAAGAGAAGAAAACATGGAATCGATCCATACGTAATTTGTGGAAATTATTATGCGAGCATGCTGGTAAATTAATTACATTAGGATTAGCTACTCAAGTGACAGTTGCTCAAGCACTAGAAACTCATGTAACTCAACAGCATTCTAGACTCAGAATAGGCTTAGCCAATCGGTCTAATTTATTAGATACATTAGAAAGAGTGAACCGAACATTTACTAATAATACAACATTATTAGACTTTAAAACATTACCTACACCCATGGAGCGTTGGTCATCTACTTTAGACAATAAATCCGCCCGAGAAACAATAACTTTTGAGAATAAAGGTTACACGAACAGCACAGAAATATTTACATTACCATTCAACGTCAGTGCTGGTTCTGAATTTGATCAATACATGGTAATTAAACAGGAATTGAAACAGGAGATATTGAATCAGTTTGATAAGATCAATGATGATTTGCTTGCACTCATAGAAATATTTAGTGCAAATGTGAATACTGAATTATTGGAAGCGAAATCTAATCAAACGATGTTATTTCGTGTAATCAGAGCATCTTTTCCATTTAGTCAACGTCAAAACTGCAATGTATCAAAAGATAAGCTAGTTGAACTTCAAAATACGATAAATGATACATTGTCAAATGTTAATACTCCAAGAGATAGCAATTGTGAATTAAATACTGTTAATACTAGTAGTTGTGATGAATTAATCCAATTAATACAGTGTGGAGTTAATCATTTTAAAAATGGATTTCTACAAGCAACTGAAAATAAAATTTTATTAACATCATATACTAAGTTAGACAATGCTTATAATGATTTACATGCACAATTTCAAAACATGAGTGATAAAATAAGACAGCAAGTTTCACAAGAATATCAGCAGATATTAAATGAATTAATCAAAGATTTTCAACTATTAAGAAGATTATTAAACAGTTTAAAAGTAGAATTAGCGCAAGAAATAGAAGGAAATTGTATTTCAGAAATCGGCCATGGGCACATTAAAACAGCTGTAAGTAAATTTCAAAAACTAAATGATTTTGGTAATGGTCATCTATTACATTATATTATAGATCAGGCATATACTAATTATGGTCAACTGAATAATTTTGACAATATAATAAATTTTATAGCACAGCTACCTTGGTTTTCAGATAGGGTGATAAGCTATGAGGCACTATATGATAAAATGGAAAAAAAATCTCCTAAAATATTAATTTTTGTGAGCCAGATTGAACAAGCCATAGGGAACCAGTATATGCTTAAGAATGAACCAATATTTGTTTCTAGGCTAAATAATTTAAAGAGTAGGGCAATGATTTATTTTAATAATATCATTGATGCATGGGCCTATAAGATGCGGAATAATGATGCTAAAGAAATTATGGAATTTGCTAAAAAATATGACTGTGATACCAAAAAGTCTATCCTAGCTCTAGTAAGAGAAAGAGAATATGCAAGTGATTGAGAAAATGCAGAAACATAATAGCGTTTATTCTAGATCTACGTTGCCACGGAAGTGGTGCTGTAGTTTGTTATCTTTGTTTAAGCAAATGCACCGTAACCCGCCAAAAAATTTTTCTATATAACATTACAGAAATGTTTCGTTGAAATGTTACTGAAGCGTTGCGCTAGACGTTATTTAAACGTTGCAAATAAATATTTTGTAACATTATACATGGTACATCTTTGAATAGTGCAAATATTTTAATTGGTGGTACATAATGGCCCTAGAAGCAGAACTAGGGGATTGCCCTGCTTCGAGGACAAAAATAATATTTTCGAGCCTGTGAATTGTAAATTTAAAACATTTTGAAACAAGTTAGATTAAAATGTTCTGCAAATATTTTTATGAAAACGTTATAGAATCATGAAACTGTATAAGTGATTCCTTGATGAGTACAAATATTTTAACTGGTGGTACATTTTTGTCCTCGAAGCAGGGACAATCCTATAGTTCGGTTTCTAGAGCCATTATGTTCCACCAATTAAAATATTTGCACTCTTCGTAGATACACCATGTATAATGTTACAAAATATTTATTTGCAACGTTTAAATAACGTATAGCGTAACGCTTCAGTAACATTTCAACGAAGCGTTTCTGCAAAGTTTCATTTGCAGTTACATAAACATTTCTGAAACATATAGTGCAGGTAACTGAAACGTTTCGGGATTTTAATATACGCTTCTCAAACGTTTCGGAAACGAAAAGATGTTTAGCGGGTAGAAGATTAATTTGGAAAGGAAATAATTGTATCATACACAGTCTAGCCTATAATTGTCAATATGTGTACCCTGTGTAAGATAATGGTGGTTACGATTTAGAGATGCTATGTGAAAATGATGCTATTACTTGAAAAAAAACACACAGAAACTCCAACAAGAGAAGGATATTGGAAGATTGATGTTAGTAAATTTTTGTTGTTGTGTTGTAACATGTTATAACGTTTTCAAGAGGTAATAACATAATAAATATTACGTCACAAACTTGGCAGAAAGTGTAACTATAGGGCGTTAGTTTGTACTTGTTGCAGATAACACTATATAATAACACTTACATTAAGTAAAGCAATATTTTTCTGTTGGCAATTTGTCAGGTGGTCGATCGAAATAATACATCTGGAAACAATTTAGAAAAAGTAAGTGAGAAACAACTAAGCAACGATTTACTTGAAAAGTTAATAACCAAGTATTAGTTATTAGAGGACTATCTGTTTTACATGTATTAGAACTAGCTATTTTATCACTTGCCATAACTGCTCCAGTATACAGGGTGATTCAAATCTGGCGTCATTCCTTTTAAGGGGTGATACAGGCTCACTTGGAGAGGACGAGAAAAATATTGCAGTTTTTTTTTTGGAAAATTTCTAGAAGATATTAACAGTTGAAGATCCAATGTCAACTTTGTTATTAAGTATTATTTTGAAATGTCCCATCTTTCATTGGTGGCCTATTGGAATACTTGACCGTTTGTAAAGAAAATTTGCGATCATATAGCGTAAAAAACACGCTTCTACAATTTTTTGACAAAAAGTCAAAGGGGCGCTGATGTTTTTTGCCATTAACAGATAGTTACAGGTTGATAGCCTTTGTCAATACTAACAAGCATTTATCAAACTGTGACTTACTTTGAAGCTCCTTTCACAAAATGTACAGCAACATCGAATTTGCGAATATGCGATTAGTTCTCGGTAAATGCCACAGTAACCGTAATCAGAAACTGTAAGTAAGTTAGACCAGCCAAGGGTTAGAGACACTGGATAAATGGCTCCAGGAATTGACGAAGTTAGTGTATGTTCTTGACATACTCGGGTTCCAGACCTAGAGGAACAGGTATTGGAGATAATTGCAGCTGAGCCTTCAGGGGTACTCGAAGCATTGCACGACAACTGACCCTTTTTGAGCCATCGGATAAGTGCCCCTTTAGCTCCCACGAGGCAGAGCTACATTCCTACCATGTTGCATGTCTGTAAGATACACAGGACCCAATAACAAATTATATATCTGATCTGCTCAACCCCGGTACATATTGAGCAGGAGTTAATTAAGCGAATACGAGAAGCTGCTCAAAATGTGAGCCCAGACTGCTGCCAAGACCTGGTTGGAGTTAAACGGGGCAGAACGTCAAACCTCTCTTGTGAGTTTAAACTTAATTGTATGTTATTTGATCGATATTGGTCAGTGACACATAATCTTTAACAGGATGTTTTTGATGACAGCTGTGACGGATTGCATATGCCTAATACCACTCATTTGCCCCAAAAAGGTGGGCAGAACTGACCGCAATGTGACAACGTTATCCGAACCTCAAAGTATTTCATTGTAACTTATCTTTCTTTGCTTTTCTTGGTTTCTAGATTTTGTAGTAATAAAAAAACAACATGTATTAACGTAGAGTTAAATAGGCAGATTAATTTCAAAAACATTGTTGCCATCCTTCTGTTTTAGCTTTTTGCAAATATACCCCTTTTTATTAACGATTAATTGTTTTCACTATTTTGCCTGTACTCTTAAAACACCCCCCATATACCTCCAGAGGAATGACGCTAATTTTAAGTCACCCTGTATTGTTATTTGCGAAGTAAACCATTTACTAATTTAGATAGCAAAACTAATTCTGAACTACCTGCTAGACTGTATCGTCATTTACTGATTTTACCGTTAAATTGTTTTTTGCAGCAATAAAACGGTCAAATTGTAGCACGCGTACCCAACTTTGATCAAATTTGTCAGTTTTTAAATTATTCAGCTTTAATGTTAATATTATAAATAATGATGATTATTAGGTTTATTGCTGCAATGTTTAGCTTTGCTAAATATTAACGTAGTTAGTATTAGCGTCGTTAGTATTATATGTAATTTTTGGTTGATTATTAGCCCAATACTACATCATCGCGTTGCTAAAGAGTATGACGCGAGTAGTCTTTCTGCAACATATTTAACTGAAACCAAAACTGGTATAGAAGTTATGAAAGCCACTACACTGAGTCAGATATCATTACGCGTAAAACTGAACTTCAGCGAAGAAAATCAATTTGCTCTGTCACACATAACCCCTAGTCTATCCAGACGAATCCAAAAGCAGCCACAAGCCCAACTATCTCCCGCTGAAGTTATGCTCAACCTCTACAACGCTACAAATCTCTACAACGCACCCTCAGTTCGAAGAGTAGCGAGGAAGCCGAAATGAAGCCAGTTGACAGGGGACGGTCTGATGACCGCACTAGGTGTACCTTACCGAGGAAATTATCTGTTGATAGAGATCTGAACGCTAACAAGCCCATCCTCAGTAAAACTTTGTTGAAAACTCCATGAAAATCATTTCAATACCAAATTTCGTTTGTCCTAATTGATCATCGTTGCTCTTTTTGATTTAATGAATAAAATTATTGTCAAAACTTAATTTGGAAACTATCACCTATAGGGAATTCCACTAAACAAAACATTTAGGCCGCTTTTCACCAAGCGATCTTAAACCAGTTTAACGTCTGAAACTCAGTTTAACGTGCGAAACGGGTTTTACCAGAACCTTAAACTTAGTATGTGCTTAAACGCGTTTAAAGAAACGAACTGGCCGATTTCGAGCGTTTATAGCTTTAAACGCCGTTTAAAGACTTGATCTAACCTCACTGTCTAAAGAATTGTTGTTGTTGTCGGTCGATTGGAAAATAATAAAATAGAAATGGCACGTAGGCCAGTTTATAACTTAATTTTTAATAAGTCGACGAATATTTTATTGTTCATTAGGTACTTTGTCTGTCCCGTCTGTAATGGTGACTGTCTGTCTGTCTAAAGGATCTGAAAGGGCGTCCGCAGGACCTAATTTTCTACTTGTTTAAGTAACTTTTCAAATAGAAAATCTAATAAAAACGTGTATACCATAGTCATAAGCCATATACGAATGCACAAACCGTGCATAAACAAAGCAAACTTTAAAATTGTACGGTTAGTTCGAGCAGAAAGTTTGGGTTTGATAACGGATTATTGACGTCATGGACCCAAATGCTTCCTTAGTAAGATGATTTTGCGATGAGGGTCGTAATATTTCTCACTTTTGCAACGATGCCAGTGTTTCCAGTTTCTTAAACTGCGTTTCAATAAACGCAGTTTGTGAAACGTACCGAAGCGCTGGTGAATTTCGGCGTTTAACATAAACTTAGTTTCGTCAAACTGCGTTTCGCTTATTTCTGGTGACAATGGGCCTTAGATTTTAAAAATTATTTTATTGAAGGAATTTTTTGTTAGTTGTCCGATAGTTTTAAAATTTGGCACACGAATTACGTATGATAATTTGCATTATTAAACGAGTGAAGGTGAACAGCACACAGCCTTCTCCACAATAAGTTTATTGAACCCCCAATTTAAGAGGACACGCTCGTGATGTTTTGGGCACATAAGTAAGTCCCCATCATCGGGAGCTAGAAGGCTAGAAGTAGTATAAATCTACTTAAGCAGAACTTAAACCAAGAGAAGAGATACTTTAAGTTGTAAGAAGTGCACCCGCTGTCTTTCTATAAATGGGAGACAGCGAAACTCAAATTAAATTTATATAAGGCGAGAATCAATAGTATGATTCTCGCGGCTGTAGATTATTAATTATATAAGCGTTGGTTGCACATTTTCCGGACACCCGTACAATTCATAATTGTTCAAGCAGTTTTAAAGTTGACAATAGTACGTAGTACTCTAGCTTGTAGTCAGTTTTACTACACTTTTTACAAAGATGTACTATTTTCATTTTATCCAAATATTGTTTCTGGTCTAGTAGTAGTAGTAGTAGTAATAGTCGTATTGTGGGGGGACAGCACGGGTCCGGCGAGTAGGTCTTAAAGGCCATTTTCACCATTGCTACTCCTTCTATCCCCACCTCTACTGATCATCTTCGCCACCCACACCATCATCCCCTCCTTGCCTTAAAAGGCCCGTCTCTACTCCAAAGAAGACACTTCGATGCGGGACATTGTAGAGGCCCCAAAGATGCGCCTCCTAGTAGACGACATCATGTTTGCAGGCATGATGTTTGCTCCGCCATTACAGTGTGAACACACGGGACTATCACCCATTCCTAGAAGGTGTAGGTGTCTGTTCCGGCCACAGTGGCCTGTCATAACCCCAACCAGAGTTCTCAGGGCCTAGCGACTCCTTAACATCAACCATTTGGATATTGCCTTGGCATCAGCTGGTCTTCCAATAAACTCAGTGGTTTGTCGACACCTTTCCGCTTTCCTCCATATCTGTGGTGGCTCTAAAAGCGCAGTGATTTCAAGTGCTTGCTACCTGTGGGTTACTTAACACCGTGTGAGGTTCGACAGTTATCAGGCTCTCAGAAGGTCCGATCCTTGCCAATGCATCGGCACGCTCGTTTCCTGCGAACCCCATGTACACCGGAATCCACACCAGGTTTACTTGTTTCTGTTCTGCCACTTGTTCAGGATATCTCAGCAATACTGGAGCAGTGTACTGCCCATTTTAACACTTGAGAGTGCCCTGAGGGCAGCCTGGCTGTTGGAGTAGATCTCGACAACTACCTCTGTAACTTCCCTATCTGGGGCAACTTTGAGGATTGCATGCAATTCCGCCTGAAACACTGTCGTCCAGCTTCCCAGCAAAAAGTACTCTCCCCTGTTGGTGACTTGCCGGTACACAAATGTCCCAGAACATCCCATAATGGGCGCCCGTAGGTCGTTGGTGTATCAACATTTTACCGCCTATCGGGCAACAACTGGCCTAGTTTTCCAACTTTCTCTTGTTGGGATTTCCACCTTAAATTTCCTTTCGAACCTAAGCTCGCTATCAGGTGGGACCACCGTTGCACCAAGGATTGGAAGATTTCGACATATGGCTGTCCCTAGTTTTGTATGTCCCTAACGTGGGTTGTTCCCATTCTTTATAGAGCTGCATTGTATCCTCGCTGGTTCTGGTCTCAAGAAGCTTAATAAAATTTATCAAGTCAAACTTAATCTCGAAAGCTAGTGTATGATAAGCTCACAGATAAGGATTTACGAGTAGTATTTCTTGTAACTGATGGTGAGTATCGAATGCTAGCGAAAAGGATTGAAACTCATGGTTTAATTCAACACCCATCTAAATCCAATACTGAATTATAGTCTAAGCAGTAGCTTGGTAGTTGTTGGAATAGCCAAGTTATTATTCTATCCGCTACCTCAGAGTTTAACATAACTTGGTTTATACCAGCTTTTTGAAAAAATTGTCCTCCTTTATTTGAAATATTCGTATTTTTATTTATGTTAAAATCGCTTGCTTTAATACTTCCTCTACTATTTAAAATAGTCATGGATAAGGTACTCGCTTATCAAGCCTATATCATTTTAGATGTGCTTATTTTGGGCTTAGTAATTACTAATATTTTTGAGGTATTCGTTAAGGCATTACGAGAATATCAATATATCCATACAGAGGCACGTATAGATATTGTACTCGGCATTAAATTAGTAAAACACTTACTTCCATTACCTTTACTCTATTTTAAGAACCGGCAAGTTGATGCATTAGTAGCACGTGCACGTCAACTAGATATTATTAGAGAAATTCTCAGTGTTCTCTATTGACTTTAGTCATTGATATTAGCTTCACGAACATTATTTTTTTTAGTGAAATATATTTGATCGCCTAAATTAACTACCATAGTAGTAGTTTCCATTTCTTTTTTATGTAATTATGGCTTGGTGTGTTACTAATCCATTACAAACTAGGTTTGAAACGCAATGTCAGTAAAATGCTGTTAATACTGCTTTTCCAACAGAGAGCATTGCTGGACCTGAAGCAGTAAAAAGCCTAGAAATAGAGTCACGTTGAGCAAGACGCTGAGTAATTTAAACTAGAGATTTAATTGATGTATGTAGTACTCAAATATTATAATCTTTATCTATTCATATGGTGCAAGATATTGGTAATATAACTAACATAATCATTTTATGGTATGGTGCTGAGTCTGTTATTAACTTTGAAATTACTGTTGGTCAATTAATTACATTTAACATGTTTACCTCGGCATTTTTCTGGACATCTCGCTAAATTAATTGAGCAATGGGGACAATTTGATAATGGGAACGATATATTAAGTTTATCAGCTGAACAAGAAGCATTAGGAATACAATAACAATAAGGCGCTTAAAAATAATAGCAGTATCGGTATAAGATTTAGCTGTGGGGTCGAAACTACTGCAAATTAGGACTGCCTGAAGGAACTCGGATATAAGCCAAAATCTGCATGTGAAGTGCCTCAAGCTGGAAAACATCAACGACTCAAATATTATTGCCGGATAAAGTCAGAGACTTCCAAAACACTTACGATGATGAAAAAACCTTTTGTTGGAACAGATATATGCTGCTAATGGGAATAGTAAGTCCAAGTTGCCGGTAAATTCGTTCGTAATTCGTTAAGAGAAGTTTACATTTGGACAATCTACCATTGGACAACTGTTAAAGTTTTTCAAAACAACATAGCTGAAATGAGTCAGCAAATTACAACCGTCTAGAAGTGGATCGGTTTCAGAACAGCCAGCAGGAATAGGTGGAAAGGCTCAAGATGATTTGCAAAATAATAATTAAAATCGCAAATCCTTGGCGACTACCGATGATGGTTCGATAATTTATCTCCTAGGGACCAATATATCTCGCGCGACTCATGGTCTGCATGTTCAGATTTTCACCATCGAAACGACTCCGGTTATTGATAGAATCAAAAGAAAAGCTTCTACACTAGATTCAACGAAAAGAAAAACCCGCGCAGACTCAGCTTTGCAAACACTTACAAAGAGAGATCATGAGAGAGTTTTGAAAGCCTGATTATTGCTCGCTTTATTGAAGACATTTCGAAGCCCAAACGCTCCTAGTAGGTTAGTAAATTATTTTTAGTGTTATGTTGTTGAAATATTGGACTTTTCAGAACCTTTTTTACATCGTATATTTCGTAACATAATCCAGCAACCAGTGGTTCCAGAGGATATAAACCGTATGCTTGCAGTGCCCTTTCCTAAATTACTACGTGAATGTTCCAGACGGTTAACAAAACTTGACTCACTCTTATCGGAATGTTCCGGACCGCATCAGAGTTTAACAAGTATGATTCAATTTAGTTTAGTATTTTAATTAAAACTGCTTTTTAAAGAATTCAAAATAAAAGACAAACGTCTTTTCCTTGCGTATTTTCCTCAAATCGGGGTTTTGGATTGACCGATATTTGTCTTTTTTGGATGTATTTTATTACGAACTGATAATTATTTCTCTTGTCGATATAATGCCTGAATTTGTTATCAAAACTTAATGTGGAAACTGTCATCAATAGTAAATCCTTCAAAACGTTGACGATAAAGCGGAATACCTAAATGGTGGTATTTCATAACTTTTATATTGATGTTTTGATGAAATTGTGAAAAATGTTGCGTTTACAGGGTGTTCCGTAAACGTTACATCGATTCTCGACTGATAAAAGGTCTGACCTGACAGAGGTAATCTTTTTTAAAGCCTTTTGGAATATATTTACACTTTTTGAAAGTCGAGCAAAACAGTTAATATTCCGTGCTTTTACGCTTATGAAATATTAAGCAGCAAATAAATTTTTGTGTTGTAGTTTAGGCAAAAGCACCTTTCGGAAAACCTTGATTTTAAAACGTATTCCTTACAACTTACATTTCATTTCTATTATCTATCATTTGATCCTACTGCTTTTGAACTACAACCATTCCCGAAACTCAAATACAAATAAAATATTTTCTGCGGGATGTTCCATAAGGGTGACTACGAAATAACAAGTGATTTTCAAATAAGTGACAATATCTCTAAAACCGTAATAATTTATATGTGTGTGTTGTGAGACACAGTTTTCTGACTTGTCCGGGATTGATCTTTCATCATGCGAAGTGTTGTCGAAGGTTTACGGGACTCCCTGTGTATAAGCTATGGAATAACACTCAATAAACCTTGTTGAAAAAATATTTGAACGAATGCCTGCACCATTTTGTTTTTGGTGAATTCTCAACGACTTTGGGACCTTTCACCACTTTTTTGGCCAATCTCATTGCTCATATACTATTAAGGGCCGGTTACACGCTCAAGCTATTTGCGCAAATTGGCCTGCACAAGCCCGATCGCACAAGCAAATAGTTGCGTGTAAACGCAGGTGGGAATATTAATTACTTTTTGGAAAAATTTTAATATGTTTTTAGATACACATACTTAAGCGTCAGTTATATTCAATTTGTGTAAAACGCATTCAATAAAAAAATAGTGCTATTGTAATTCAAAGCATGTCATACTCATTCTTCAACAACACAAAAGTGCAAAACAATTTAGTTAGTTCTCTAACAAATACAATTTTGCTCAAATCTGGCTTGTGCAATCAAGTTTATGTAGATGGTTTCAGCGTGTAAACCCACTTTTAGACTAACCAGATTTAGACTGCTTGCATTACGTCATTATGTATTTTTTAGGTCATTCGTTACAAAATATTCCCGGCTCTTATTAAACGTAGTAACAGTATGCTGGATCTGATAATAATTTAGATAAAGCATCAACTAGCTCCATTTCTAGAAGGTAAGTGAAATTACTGCTTTAAAAATAAACATCGCGGTTTGAAAAAGTCTGAATATAATAGCTTTATTCGCAGTAGCGATTCAGGATCGGTTCAGAACCGGTAACGGACAGAATTAAAGTTCAAGCTCGGTGCAGGACCTGTTCAGAACCAATCCTTGATTCCTTAGTTCCGCGAACGCTTTTAGAACCACCTTTTAGTAGAATTTCCATTCACCATGAGGCGAAAAATTGCTAACACATGTTGGCAATTCCAAGTATATTTTTTCATTGGCGTTCTGATCAAAAATAACTGATAAACATAGAAAACTCAATAATTCTTAAACTTAATAGTGATTGGCAAATTATTATACAGTAAAAAAATTCTTAATTTATCTCTGGCAAAGTCACTTATCAAGTCGTAAAAATCAATCAATGTTAAGCTTAACGAATGGAGCGATAGTTGAAAATAGAAAAATTAAAAACAGTACTTAGTTTTACGCGCAAGTTTAGTTTGAGTTTTTTTTTCAGACAAAGATGATAAGGTTTTGTCAGGCCGCGGGTGAAATTTGAAAATCGGATTTGATGTGTTTCTTATAATATGTTGCGAAAAGTGGCAGTTTTTGATTAATTCAAATAAGATAGAAATATTAAGTTTGTTTATGTGTATATTGCATTTAATTAAGTAATTTTGATCAGAACGCTTTTGTAAAAATAAGCTTGGTATTGCCTACATATGTTCACTTGCAGCTTCGAACATTTTAACTCTCAGGCTGAATAGACAAATAAAGCCGTAAATTTGAATTAGGAAAAGAAATGCAATGCAGGTGCACCCATTCAGCCCTGTTCTGTATCACTCACGTTAACTTTAACGTGCATGTTATCCGTCAAACACGTTATGTGGCTCAAACTGGTGTGTTGTATCAGTAAAACCGTTATATTATAACAGGCGTACGCCATCGACGAACGTTATATTGAGAAATAGCGGTTCAGAATAACAGCATCAAATCACATGCCGCTATCGAACTTAACGTGCGTCCCTCAAAGTTAAGCTCAGAGGAATAAATAAAACAATTGTGATTAATTAGAGCGTAATTTTGTGTTTTAGCTATAATTTGTTTTTAATTTTAAACAAAAATATGTCTTTTGGTGGTCTTATGAGGATAGCCTTATTAGAACCATTAGTAAATGGTCTTGAAATTTATTTTATTATTATATTTTATTTAACTTTATTTTTCTCCACAAACTCTACTAAATTTTCAAATTGTTTGCGAGTTGTTTTTGTTCCTCTTCTGTACATGCTTCATTGAAAGTGTTTGAGAAGATAGGTCAAGAACAAGAACGAACGAAATTGAAAGTGAATGCAAATCATAAACAAAGACAAGTAGGGTAGTAGGTGGCCCAAATGGTCAAAACGTGCATATGTGGTGCATATGTTTTAGAAGCTTTGATGGTTTGATGTTAACTCTCTCCCTAACTAATAGACTATTCGTATAAGGGCATCTCACTTTATGCTTCCAATATTGTTTGATAGATAACTGGGTCGGAAACGCATACGTTAACTCGGAGATAGAGCACACCTCGGTTGTGTTGCTGCGTTATCGAAAATGTTATCCTGAACTGTTAAATCGGCTTAACGTGTGGCCGTTAAAAATAGCATTATGATACAGCACAGGGCTGATTGTACCACCCGCCGATCAAAAGTAGGCGCAAACAAAAGTGTTCAATCTCTCAACAATAGAGACAAGGTGCTGCTAATAAAGCAAAAAAATAATGATGCGGGAGCCAGTCCCGATGCCGACGCGAACCCTATGTTTTGTTTGTTCTGCGCTTGTTAGAACCACTGACTTTAATTCTAGAACTGCCAGAACCAGTAACGAACGGGTTCTGAACCAGTTCTTACTGTACCACGAACATAGAACTTTCGGTTCAGAATAAGTAATTTTTTTACCGCGAATACCCAATGCTTCTACGCGCATGCGATCAGTTCCAAACCAGTCCTGAATGAGTTGCGAATAAAAATATTTTTATTTTAACACAGATTCAGTCCGGATGTTCACCGCCCAACACTAGACAGGGGCTGGGTTTTACCACACTATTCCACAAACAGGCGGAATTCAATTATCCAGTCTCCTCCAGCTTCCAAACCTATTTAACCTATTGCTATTTTTATGCCTTATTACTTTAAAATTATGGTTTTAATGGCCCTGACGTTCTTTAATGTTACCTCCCTAATTACCGTTCTTCAATGATATCTCTTCAAAGGTGCTGCAAAACTCTGGTTTATTTGTTTTCTTTCCCCGGTTTTATCACCAGGTTGTGTGAACATACAGGTTGTGTGAATATAGCTAACTATAGCAACTTCCTTATTTAATATGTTTAATTTAAGACGAACTTTAGTATTTTAATACAATGTTCAATATTTGGTGAATTAAGGTTTTACATTTTTTTAAATATATGAAGAGTGTATGCTTGATCTGTCTCATCAGTTCTGAATTCTCCTATAATCAACTTTTTTTAATAATGATACTCACTATTTACTGAGAATTAGAGTCACGTTAGTATAACCACAGAGTTTACATACACTTTTTTCGATTGTAACAATTTGGCTAATGATGCAAACAAATCTTTTAAGTTTGTTTAATATTGCATATTAGCAATAAATTAATCCTGCAAATGAATATGTTTAATACTACATATTAATTATTAGGTTACTACGTATGGACTTTTCAGCGTAATAAGTGATAGTTTTAAGTGCAATGGTGTTAAGTATTGCTATAGTTTATATTTCTTGATATTTGTTTTCAGTGCTATTTCGTCTTAGATTTAATCTGCATTAGACCCACTTAATTCTCGGGGCCTGTGAGTGCATGCAACTCTCATTGAAACCCAGAATTGCTTTTTATAAATATTTTAGAGATATACCCTTTGACAAAGATTTTTTTCCAACTTCAAAATTATGCGTTTTTATTGATTTGATTAAACTTGATTAAGAAATTGTTCCATTATTTAACTTGCATGTAACTTAGGCGCAATATATTATTCTTCCCTTTTCCTTTCCCGGAATGTTTCATATCACTAGTGTGAATCAATAAAGCTTTAAGTGAAACAACCCCATTCAACTATCGACAATTATCTATTGTAATTTCGGTTCCTAATTGTTGATAACGACATGTTGTTAAATCATAATACATTTATTGGTACTGTTAGGCTATTGTTGCAATATACACACAAATGTAATTAAAACACTTTTTTTAATTTGCTGTGTGAACTTGTTATGTAGAATATGTTATCGTTTGTGGTTTTAGAAAAGTTATAAATTATATTATGATAGAAACTAGTATTTTTTCATTTCCTGTCATATATCATATTTATAGGAACTAATTCGGGGTTAAAAAGAAACAGCAGCGATAATAATGATAAATTAGTGCCAAAACTTGGTTATTATTTGTACTTATTGAGTTAATTACTTTTTAAACAACAAAATTGAAAAAAAGAATGTTATATAGTTTTACGAGGATAAATTCGACACGCAACAATGTCATAAAATACAAGTCAACAATATGGGACTAAAAGCGCTACATGTACCAAGAGCCAAAGAAATGCGAAACTTATCGAAACCTGAATGGTGCCACCTGGAAAAAATGAAGAAAATCTATTTAGTACAACAATGAATCTGCCGAGAGCTATTTATAAAATGCAGCACAGCAAAGAATGAGAAATGCAAAGAATCCATAAAACTTCAATTGCTTTTCGAACATTAAACTCAAGCTAAGGGATTTATAGATTCTAGATAATTCTTACCAGCGTTCTGCAAGCTGGTACCCCATCCTTTATTTTTTACCAATTAATCATCAAAAAGTGCACACTACACTTAATCACACAACAAAAATGTATTCCGAATTGGAAACTTTAATCCTGTAATAAGCAATCAGGATAAACTACCGCATCTGCCATAAGGGCAGCAAATATTTTATATTTCCGTACGTAACGTATTGCGACTATTGCCTGAAAAGAACTGAATGTTCAGACAGCTTTTCGAAAAAACCTCATGTAAAATCGAAATTTCAGAATCAACCTGATGATATAAAAATTTGCTTAATGGCCCTTTTGCTTTACTTCATTCATAGCTTTACTTGGCAGTTGGATTTCAGTTTGTATATTGTCGACATTTTTGTTTAACTTGTTCGCGCGGAAATATTTTCCGAAAAGACAAGTTTCACGTTTCAACTCGTTTGGACGATTGGCGTAAACAAATCAGCTGTCTCATCCGAGGAAAAAAACCTGATGCATGAGACTTTTTCATACTAAATTAAATTGGAGCTATCGATTCAGCCGTTCAATTAAATTTTTTTGACCGATTTTTGTGAAATTTTGATCCCTTTGACTCTGATATTTTGTGTTAAACTAATGTAATGGTGCGTTGCTCGCATCATTATGAGCTACGGATTACCTAACCTGATTATGACAAGAATCCGGACGCAAAATCGAGTCCTTTGCTCGATTTTCCTAAAAATTTTTAAATTAAGATTGCACTAAATAAAAATGAAGCCTGCCAAGAAATCACAACACGTCTACATTTGTGTGCAAACAAAGACTTTAAGAAAATCCATGAAGAAAGTCCCTGTGCTGTACGGCTGCTATTGCAACTTAACCCAGCGGTACCCGCGTCAAATTCTGAAACTACAAATGAGTTCCCGCATCGATCTCCCAAACCGAATCTGCTGCGGTATAAAACTGTCTTTTTTATAATAAATATTTCAAAATAACATGAAACTCTGCATCAAACCGAATAAGAACATTTATTGTTTAACCCATTTTTACAATGTGTTATATACAATACAACAGTGTTCCAATATTGGAGCGCGTTTATAACTGCTCCTCCAACGAATTATTTAATTGGGGCTGGATGCATTCATGTCTCGACATGTTCAGTTTACATGTGCCTATCTAGCAAAAGTGTTCATTTTTGGATAGGTTCCTATAGGCTCAGGTGTGGCGAAATGTGATTTCGAAGATTGCACTGCAATGGCGGCCAAAAAGTAAGTATTTTGTTCTTGTTAAATAATTATTTCTTAGGTTGTAACTTTTCTAAACTTTTCTAAAAAAATTACAACATTCCACTAACTCAATTGGTTTCCAAGCAGCAAAATGTTAAAAAAATTACCAATAATCAAAAAAGGTTGATTTAGAACCATCTTTTATACCTTTCGATCCACCCAAAAAGAAACAGGAATATAATTTCCAAATCCTGTAGTATGTTTTGAGTCATTTTTTGACCAAGAAATTTGTACTTTGTTAGTGAAAATGTTTACCTTATACGCGATGCAGAAAGGTATTAACAGCTTTAACATTACGGAAGAAGAAATGTTTTATTAGCATATTATATTTGGCTGGACATCTCTGGAAAAATATGCATGGATGAGAGCATGGTTTCATATTTTGGGAGGCATGGGGCAAACTAATTAATAAAAGGGAAACCTATTCAGTATGGCTTCAAAATCTGGTCTTTGTGTGAACCAGCAGGATATCTCATAAACTACATTCCTTACCAAGGAAAACAGGCTGATAGGCCTTATATGGATTTGGGGGTTGGGGGGGTCGGTGGTAATAACATTATCAGATGATCTCCCAAAAGATACCTCTTTCAAAATATACGGTGACAGATATTGTTCCTCTCTTCGTTTAGTGGAATTTTGAATAAGTTATTCCGGAACAGTAAATTTGAATAGGACCGAAAACTGTGGTCTAAGGTATTATAGTGCCATAAACAAAGCTCCTCGAAGACCTTATGATTTGCTCAACTGATACAATGCCTCAAATAACTGTAACACGTTGGAATGATAATAGGCCCGTTTTAAAAATATGGAGTTCCTTCATTTACTCGGGGACGTCCCACGTACTCAAAACCAATGCAAGGGAGAGTTCATGACAATATTAGGTATGACGGGATAAATCACTGGATTGTGCCTGCTTTGAAACAGAATAGATGTGCGTTCTGCCATAAGAACACAACAAAAAAGTGCGAGAAATTCAACATCAATCTGCATGATACTTGCTTCAAAAAGTATCATATCCAGTCAACATAAATGTACTGATGTTTAGTTGTTATTTAAAATTGCTGGTTTAATAAATGATTACATATTTCATATGGATTTTCGCTCCCGATGTTCCAAATTTGGAGCATTATTGTATATTAACACAAAAATGACAAGAAACAATTTGGGAGTTTTGTGCACATTTATTATGATTTAGAGGTATACGATGAATAAAAAAACATACAATTTTAAGTTTTTAAAATTTGGGTACATGCGAGTAGAAAATATTTTAAATACTCGGGCAAAAACGGATTAAAAGGAAATTATTACATTTCAAGGTAGTTTTCTGTGACTTATAATAACTTTTAAAGGACCTATAAACGTGTACATTGCTAAACACATTAAAAATAATTTTAACAGTTAAATAAATGAAACATTACTATCTAGGGTACCAAAATACAGAAACAGAATCTTCTAAACTACTGAAGCATAGTTTCTGAACAAGAATCAATACATGCGGTAGGTACATATACTTATTGAACTTTTTACAAAAGTAACGAGTTTTTCTGTTTTTTTTTGGAAGCATTGCATTGGCATGTGTCGCCTCTTTCATGTATCTGTTCCTCGATTTTTCAAATTTTACGAATTATGTTTTTTATTTCTCTTGGTATACTCTGAGTAGTTACTCGGAGGAGTAAATGTGGTTCTATCAAAGACATATCTAGATTGTTCAAAAAGACACGACGTACATACTTGGTAGTCGGATTATTGTACCCAAATATTACCAGAAAATTTGTTCCAGCTACATTTAGCCATGAATAAAATACTACCATCGGCCATCGTTGGGTGTTTCTGGCACAGTTGTAATTTGAGCATAATTGATCAACTGTGTCCACACCTCCTTATTATATAGGGGGGTGTTATATAGGGATATTATTATGATATTCATATGCCCACCTAAATATGTATACAGGGTAATTCAAAATTGGCGTCATTCCTTTTAAGGGGTGATAGAGGCTCCCTTCGGGAGTACGAGAAAAACAATGACATTTTTTTTATTCGAACGTTTCTAACAAGACAAGTCCACCATTATTATCAATGCAAACATTGCAACGCTCTAAAACTGAATAAGTTGCTTTTCTCAGCCATCAATATTTTCAAATGCTCTAACAACAGATTCTTTAAGTACTTTTAAATTAGAATGTTTGTTTTTGTAAACTGGGTTTTTTACGGTTCCCCAAAAAAGAAATCCAAGGTGAAAGATCCGGTGATCGAGATGGTCATTTAATAGGGACGTTTCGTCCAATCCAAGCACCAGGAAATGTTACGTCCAGTGGATTCCGCACTTGGGAAAAATTATGTGGAAGAGCGGCATCATGTTGAAACTATTGCACATTACGACATATTTCCAAATCTAAGTCGTCCATCATGAAATCCAGGTTATTCTTCAATGCTTTTGGTGCATCAGCTTCTGCATACTTGCAGTTAGTGCCTCTGTTCCAAATGACGTCGTGAATGTTCCAGGCGGTCAATAAAAGTTCACTCACTCTTATCAGACTATTCCGGGACCGCATCAGAGTTTAACAAGTATGATTCAATTTATTTTATTATTTTTGTTTTATAGCATAATGCCCCGGGCGTTGTCTCAGTTTAATAGTTCCAAATAATAAACGTATTTGCTTTGGGTATTTTCCCTCAAATTGATCAATTTGGATTGACAAAATTTCGTCTTCATCGAATGTCTTTTTTCCGAATTGATATACGTTGCTCTTTTTGATATAATGAATAAATTTATTATCAAAACTTAATGTGGAAACTATCACTTATAGAAAATGCCACAAAACATTTAGATATTGTGGGGCAAAATACCGCCGCACAAAATATTTGCACTGTTTTGAAAATTGACCAAGACATACATCAAGCAAGCATACATAATATACAAGCATACATCATGATGTATGATGAATGATTAATAATCCGTGCTATTATGATTATGAAACATTAAGTAGCAAATATATTTTTTTGTTTAATTAATAGTTGTTAATTTTTGTGCTCCTCAAAAAATGTTTTTCTCAAAACAAACTTCCATTTTAATACATATTCCTTAAAACTTATATTCCATTTCTAATATCTATCTTTGCGTCCTACTGTAGCAAAGAATATATATCTAGCTATCTTGATGCCCATCAGCACAAAAATAGCACCATTCTTCCGGAAATATTTATGTACCAATTAGCTGACAGAAGCACAATTTTTCCACCATAGTATAATATCGCTTTCAATTTATTGACTCGAAACG